ACTATGTCATATATAGAAACCCTGAAGAAGGTTAGAGCTGCCCCGGAGCTCAAAGAATACAGGGAGGAAATTGTATCGATGCGAAAGTCAGAGGCGGGCCACCTTTTAGTAATGATGAACAGGGGCTCGACTAACCTAGAAAGGATTAATGAGATGTTGAGCCAAGCTGTAGGTGACAGCGGCAATGTATCCACTCTAAGACATACAGCTAAAGTAGGAATTTTTGGTCTTGACGGAGTAACGACAATGGAGGAGGTAGCGGAATCGTTTACACTTGCAACTGGATCAATTGGGGAAGTTAAGGTATCACTGAGGGATACAACTACGGGTCAGATAATGGCCATAATGACAGTTGAAGTCGAAGCGGCTAATAGAGCCGCTGAAGTTGGTCGCATAAGAGTAGGATATGTGTATTGCAAGATGCGTCTTTGGAAGGACAACAAACGGTGCTTGCAGGAGGCCACGAAACACGAGAATGTCAAGGGGTAGACAGGTCCTAGTGTTGCCGAGGGTGTGGACAAATAGGTAACTTTGTTAAAGAATGTCGGGAGTCCACTGGATTTCGGTAGGCGTTCCAGGAGCTATTGTAGAAGGAGAGTCTCACGACCGTCCAATGATCAAAATTTTATTTCATCAAATAAATGTAGGGAGGGGCAGAGTAGCGCAAGAGCTGATGTTACACAAAGTGGCGGAACAAGGAATGCAAGTAGAAATAATAAGCAAACAGTACAAAAATGCTGGTGAAGACAGAGGGTAGTATAGCCACATCAAACAGATCAGCGATATACATTGCTTATAGAGTGGCGGTAGAAGAGGTAGGTCCTACAGAAGATGGCTTCAGATAGGTGAGAATGCAGGGTGTCATAATATACAGTATTTATTGCTCACCGAATGTTCTGATAGAGGAGTACATATTGCTATTGGACAAAATAACAGAGAGCGTGAGAGTAGCAGGTAAGCCGGTGGTCTTGGATGGAGATTTTAATGCCAAGAAACCGGAATGGGGCTGAACATACTCAGATCCCATTGGGAATGTTTTGGCGGACGTCATATCGTTTTTGAATCTCGTGGTCTGCAATGAGGGGAAAATGCCAACTTTTGTGAGGGCGCCACAGGAATTCATTATAGATGTCACCTTGGTCTCAAGAATGCTGCGGCACAGAACTACTAATTGAAAAGTTTTGGACGTAGAGACGGCGAGCGATCACAGGTATATTCAATTTGATTTAGCAACAAGAGAACCGAGATTGGATCGCCCGCAGGATATGGGTTGGTGTTGGAAAAAATTCAACCAGGTTGAATTTTCTAGAAAACAGCACTCCTGTTTACTATAGTAGTGAGGGTATTGCAGCAGGTTTTCGCGAAGCGCTAGCAGTTAACTAATAGCGGCTTGTGACACGTCTATGCCACGTAAGTTCTACTATGGAGGCAAAAGACCAGCGCATTGGTGGACACAGGAGATAGCGAAGCTGCGCATTGAGTCATTACATTTTTAACTTTATTATGCTATAATTTATTGAAAGTGTATGAATGAATACAATTTCCCATAATACAGAGGGGGTTCAAATCTAAAAAATGCATATAGAACTTTTTCGACTTAACTTTTGGAAGTGTTCTGAAAAGTTTGACACTTTTATATATATCTTAAATTAAAGCTATTATAATTTACTTTATTATGAAAAACCCAGCACATTGGGATCACGGCACAGTATGGACGTGGCAAGTTGAGACAAGTATAGATGATATCTCACAGTGATTAAAATCAATATCATAAGAAACGCTTCGATGCAAATCTGTAGATAATGTTTAATTCTAAGAAATTGGTGGATAATTACAAAAACATCAACTATTTCCTTAATTATATACAGATTAGTAATTCTTAGATTCAAAAATATAATATAAAATTACATATTATATATTATATAATTGTTATATTGAATAGTTTTCAAATTGTTATTGATTTTGATTTTTAATATGTTTAAAGTAATCATTTTTAACCTACTTTAGCCCTTTAAAGTGAAAGTTTATAATAAAAAAAAAAACGGTAGCACAATGGGGTAACGGCACAGTATGGACGTGGCATAGTTGGGACAAGTATAGATGATATCTGACAGTGATTAAAATCACAATCATAAGAAATGCTTCGATGCAAATCTGTAGATAGCGTTAAATTTTAAGAGACTGGTAGATTATTTTCAAAAGCAACCATAACTCTTATTCCCTTAATTTTATCCCGATTTATAATTATAATATATGAATACATAATAATTATAGTAATTATATTTAATATGACATTGATATTCAATAAAATTGTAATTTTTACGTTGATATTGTAAAAATAAAAAGGAGTTTATATTCATATAATTTTAACGCGTATAAAAATTTAAAGGGATTGATGCAATAAAATTTAATAAAAAAATTTTGTTACTTATGAATAAATACACTAGACTACAAGGAACATTCATCAGAAACAAAAATATACTTTTCTAAATCAACTTTTCGCGATGTTTTCAAATGTGCAATTAAACTTTATCTATTACTTCTAAGTTTTAATATTATTACTTATTATTAAAAAACCCAGCACAGGGGGGTCGCGGCACAGTGGTGACGTGACATATTTGGACCAAGTATAATGATATCTGACAGTGATTAAAATCACTATCATAAAAAACGCTTCGATGCAAATCTTTAGATAGTGTTTAATTTTAAAAAATTGGTGGATTAATCCAAAAGCTACATGATCTGCTAGTTCATTATTAATATCCCAAATTAAGATAAAGTATGTCGAATGAAAAAGGGATTATTAAAAAATATTATTTCTTATAAAAAAATAATGTTGATCCATACACTTTTAAATATGTCATAGCATTATAAAGTTAAAAATGTAAAAAATAAAATCGAGAATTTTCAATACTAAATACAAAAATCGAATTTTTTTTATAAACTTTGATGTCTGTATTCACCATGAAGATAAAATAAAGTCCGAAATTTTTTTTACCATAATAAAGTATATTACAGTAGCTTTAATTTAAGATATATATAAAAGTGTCAGACCTTCCGGAACACTTTCAAAATTTAAGTTGAAAAAGTTCTACTTTCTACATGCATTTTTTAGATTTGAACCCCCCTTGTATATAGGGAAATGGTCCGATTTAAAAAAACAGTATGTCAAATGAAAGATGTATATAAATACTACTCCTCATGAAAAAATTGTACTGATCCATACATTTTTCAAAAAGTTATAGCATAATAAAGTTAAAAATGTAAAATACAAAATCGAAAATTTTCACACAAAAATAGCATTCGGTAGCCGTTTTCACCATGAAGACAAGTCCAGAGGTCAAATTTTTTTTTTTCAAATTAAAGTACATTACATTAGCTTTAATTTAAGATATATATAAAAGTGTCAGACCTTCCGGAACATTTTCAAAAGTTAAGTTGAAAAAGTTATTTTTTTGTGAAAAAGTTGTCATTTTAAATCCCCCCTGTGGGCAGATAAAGGGTCAAATTTACAAAAAAAATATACCAAATGATAAATAAAGACATCAAGCACCTATAAAAAAAGAATTATATTGATATGTATATTTTTAAAAAAGTTACGGCAGTTTTTAGTAAAAAAAATTGAAAATATGTCGACGTATCGTTGAAAGAAATCTGTTCGGTCAGAGCTGAGAAAAAGTGGTAAAAAAAAAAAAAAAAAAAACACATAGTAAAACCAATACCTTCTCAGCTTCGCATCGAAACTAACATATTATTTTGTTTTTGTTAATATTTCAATAAGTTATGGTTGTTTAAAATACAAAAAACATCACGTTAGGAGATGCTTTTTTTTACAAATATTACATTTTTTGTTTAATTTCAGTGATATTTTACTCATAGATGATAAGGTGTCTAGACAAATTTTTTTTTTCATTTTATAGTACATGACATAACCTTTGATTTGATATATGTCTAAATGACGCATTATTTCCGGAACACTTTCAAAAATTAATTTGAAAAAGTTAGTTTTTGTAAAAAAGTTACTATTTTAAATTCTCCCCCTGTGAGCAGGTTAAATGTTAAATTGTCAAAAAAATGATATCAGATGAAAGGGAAATATCTATGGTTTTAATATAAAAAAATTTTAAATTGTTTTGTTGATTTTTGAAAAAGTTATGAAAGTTTTAAAAAAAAAAAGTGAAAAAAATGACAAAATTTACCGATAATTGTAATTTTTTTGAAGATATCCCCCATTTGCGGGGAACGAGGGAAAATTTATAAATTATTTAGGGGTAATGTCTTCAACTAGATACGATTTGTGATCTTTTGACGTATTGTTGAAAGAAATCGGTCCAGTGAGAGCTGAAAAAAAGTGGCAACAGAAAAAAAAAAAAAAACACATCATGGTAAAATTATTACCTTTTTAGCTTCGCATCGAAGCTAAAAAAAAATTCGGACTTTATTTTGTCTTCGCGGTGAAAACAGACATCAAAATTGATAAAAAAAAAATA